AGTTTTCTATTTTGACATTATTAATAATAATGTTTTGTTTACCTTGTTTTTTTTTAATGAAAATTAAACGATTTTAATCATAATCAATAAATATAACGACTTTAATTATAATTAATAACTATAACGACTTTAATCATAATCAATAACTATAATTTTAAAATCGTTTTCTTCATTTTTTTTTACATATATCGCTAGTTATAAATGATCTTATCGTACGATCATAAACTCAATTTGTTCCTGACATATTAAATCAAAGAACAGTTTTCACATCTTATGTCTGCAATTTATTATTTTATTTTTTAAATAACAGAAATTCCTTAACAGTCAATTTCCACCTGTTCTTAAATTATAGATTATTGTATTCAATAAAGTACACCTGCTTCATCTTTGTAATATATTCAAAAGGAATATCTTGAGCCTTAAAAATGACCTTAAAACTAATAATTATTATCGTCAATGTCGAACAAAATGTTTCTTTAAATTATTTTTAGATTTCTTAAGATATATAAAAAAATTGAACTTAATTAAATCATTATTATAATATTTTTTTCGGCAATTTGAACATTGTTTACTAATTATTTATTTTATTAATTGTTTGATTAAAAATTTGGATTATTTATTATTAAATTTATTATACTGAAAATTTACCTGGTAACTTGAGCAATGATATCAATTGAAATCCGAAATCTGTGAAAATTAATGCTAATACAAATGTTTCTGTCAGATGATTTCGCAAAAATGCGGATTTGAAAACCGCGCACATTTTACATTTATTGGAATCCATCAGCACTAATAAATTATTATATTAAATAGTTCATTAATTATCACACTTAAAATTCTTGACTTCATAACATTTCAATTAAAATAATATTCCAACACCTAATTGTTATTAATAAATAATAAATATTAATTTATATTATTCTAATAATATAATTAACCTAACTAAATTGCACAATTATTTTTTAATTAAATACGGACAAATTTCATTTTAAAGATTTTCAATTATTTTTTATTCGAATTTTAAATACTTGAATATCTTTCATGACATTTTGATAGCGCGCCTGTTGTTTGTACTAAAAATACGTCACAATACAGTTATAGCACATTTCTGAACGCTTACTAGACACGAAATGTCTGTCGACAAAGTAAAGTTCTAAAATGCATAATAGTGATATATAGACATATATGTATAGACATATAAAATAATATATGTATAGATATATAAAATAATCACTATTAATCACAATTTGCATTTTTTATTCATTAAAATATTTTATAATACACACAACAAAATTTTGCTGAACGTACGCAATATTTATAAATAGTAGCATGTGTCATGGAAACTGTGATATCATCGTAAAATAATAAAAAAAAAAAAAATTATCAACAATTCAAAATTTATCAATTTTTATATATATATCATATTATATATATCATGGATCAGGATCATTTATTTTTTTCAAATAATAATTTATATTTAATATATAATTTTAATATATATTTCAATGAAATCTATTAATTATTTCAGGATTAAAATACTTTTTTTTAATTCTTAATTTTTTCATAATTTATATAATAACATTACATAATAATGTTATTTCTATAAAAGGATTAAAACGATTAAGAATAATAGAAATTTTATTATTATCATTTAAATTATAAATGTTATCGTGCTGATGTCATTAGTATTTCGATGCGCTTACTTCATATTACGGTACTTTAGTCATGAACTATCATGTCATTGGTCAAAGAAACTACCTTTATTGCAATATATTTATGTTATTTGTATTATAATGAGTCATAAGATATGAATATCTCTTTCAAACATAAAAAAATGAAAAAAAATATATATATAATAAAATAAATATTTTTTTTAAAGAATTATATTATATGAAATATTTTTCTTTTTTTTTTTTTCATTTATAAATTTGAATATATAATAATATCATTTTTCAATTAATTTAATTAGATTTATTAAATTGATTTATATTAAATTGATTAAAATAACAAATATATTGTAAAAATATGTTTGCAATTAACATAACAATGTAAAAATTAGAGGCATTGAGTCATTTTCCATTTCGCAATGAGGATTATTTGCTATTTATCATATATATATATATATACATATACATATATATATATATATATATATATAT